AGCTCAAGTACAGAGCCATCTACAGACAGGGTTACAGGACTGGCTTTACGAAGTTGATGGGGGGTACCAATAAGCATGATTTAGTATGAAATGTAAACTTTTGACTAAATGTGATTATCTACCTGGAAATCGGGATTAAAAAAACAAGATGGGTATGTTTAAGTGTTTTGACCTGATTGCCTGTATAAAAAGTGTGTTGAACACGTAAACTGTATTTATAAAATGAATAATTAAAGAGGCTTAATTTTATTTATCTAATTTTATTGATTAGCTCTTCAGTTGTGCAGATTAACTTATTCAACAGTTATTTTCTGATCAAAATGTAAAGCACGCCAAACAGGATAACTACCATTACAGGCTGAAAAACACTTCTGTAGGTTGTTGGTGGCAAGACATTTATCTTGTGTGGGAGCTGACAGCTTTGCTTGCCATTATGACTTTTGTCACAGTGGAATGGAAAGAAAATCTAACTGATTATTCTGATACCTCTGGTTGTTAAAACGTTTATGCAGTATATGTGAAATTTCCATTTCCATTTATGATTTGTGTGGTTTACAAATTGTGATCCATACAATTAATGGTCAAAAGGAATTTAATGGATGGCTACTACTGTATATTAGCAGTTTTCTAGCTATTACTGGTTCTTGTTTCTAGTAGTATTTAATGTTTAAAAATAGATTTATGCTCAGTACAATATGGTGCATTTTTTCCTTCATGTGGCCCACTACTAAGTTGGAAACCTTGAAAGTGCTGTTTGCAAAATAGATACTTTGGTCATGATTAGTTTTTTGCTCTTTACAAATCACTCACGAGTGACATCAATTGTTGTTGCACCCTTGGGAAAATAATTATTGGTTTAGAAGAGTGGCCTGTTTTGTGCAGTGAGAGTTTTAATAGTGTAGGCAGTTTTCTAACAGTTATGTGCAGGGATGTATAGACTATAAGGCACTCTCTTGGGAATGTTGGAATAGGAATGCTTGTGGTAAACTCCCCTAGGAGAAAACAACTCCAGTTACAGCCACTTTATGATGGATTAAACCCAGAGATGCATTAGGTATATTGTAACAAGCTACCTTTGCAACAGTTAGAATATTGAGAGAAAACTAGAACAGCATGTACTAGTTAATGCATACTGCCCCACTAAAACTGTTAAGAAATATTATTTGTATGCTTTAGTAGCAGTTTTTGTTGTCACACTGTAAGGGGAAAATAATTGTCCACTTTTGAAATGTGTGATACCATTTGGTCGTGTGGAGCTTTGAATTCTAACAGTAAGTTGATGGGACTGGATGGTTTAACCAGTACAGTTCTCTTTTTATAGTGTACGTTGAATCCAAATGAACCTTGAATTTAGGCTGTGTAATTGTCAGCTATTGGGTGAGAGTGTAATTCAATTGGTCTAATGTTGTTAAACTTAGATGGAGTCTGTGAATCCACAAGCTTACCCAGACAGTACCATGTGGAATTCATTTGGGATGGTCCTTTTATCCCAGCAAGCGTTAGTCTCATTTTTAAGAGTTTTGGTGTTTCCTAAACATTTTGTGAGGATGGCAGTGATTTACATAAGCATAAAATAATACAAAATTTAATCAAAAAAGAGAGAGACTTTCTTTTTCCAAGCTTTAAAGAAATGATACAAATCTTTCGCAAGGAAAAAACTGGCAAAGATAAAAAAAATTGCGAGAAATATTTACAAGATATTTGTGAATTTGTAGTCATCTGCCAAAGGTTGGAATCACAGACGACAGTCAGTGATGTGTGTGCCCTAAACATTTTGTTAATAATATACTGTATAATAAAGAATTATATGCAAAACAGATAATTGTAGAATGTTCATAATCATTATCTTCCACAGAGCAAGCCTGGGAGTAGCCATCTGTTATTTAGCTTACACTTGTGCTTTAATGAAGATGTTATTGCATGCACAATCCATATTAAAGAGAAGGTAATTGATAAAAGATTTACTACTGCAGTCTTCTCCCTTGGGGAAAAATTGAACAGTTTGAACAGTGAAAACATTTACTATAAAAAATAACTGGGTTTTGGTCTAATGAAATGATGCTGTTTAAGCCAGACACTCTGTGCTTGATTTGTGAACCTCTCACTTTTAAACTGGGACCTCTTAGCACCACAGCTCCTTGTGACATAAAAAAATTAACATGCTCATTTAAAAAATCCTTATCAATAGGCTTAAACTCTAAAATATAAACATGCATCATCATGATTGGCTGCACTGCTGATGCACTGCAGACTCTTCCTATGTTTTAACATTGCACTATGACTTTTTCTGCTCCTGATGCATAAAAGCAACAAAAGGCTTTCTTATAAAAGCTGTAGCACATGCTATAACCAAGACTTACTAAAACCACATCTAATATTTTGGGAAAGAAGAAAGGAACAGTCTAGTGTCGATTTATAAATGATCAATCTGAACAAACATCCATTGTAGTCAGACTTTTTCACACAGTTTTGCTGTGAGCACAAAGTTGAGATTGACGTGGGATAGATTTTACATTGTGATGGTGCATGCTCAAAAAGCAAATCATTTGCTCAGAAATGATAAGAAAAATGTTGAGACAATATGCTCCTAAAATCTGACCAATGCTAGATAACACTAGTAGTTTAAAGAACAAAAGTGCCTTTATTGTGTTATACATCTACTCATGCCTTTTTTTACACCAAAAATTAGTTTACATTATGGTTGAACATGTAACAATTTAACTGCACTGAGTCACGTTACATATACAAAAAAGGCTAGTGGGAGATCATAGTCATATTTTGAAACCTTACCAGAGTAGAAGATCTTAAAAAATGGATTCTAGCATATAATAATAATAATAATAATAATAAATTGCTTACACTTATATATCACTGGACACTCCACTCAAAGCGCTTTACAGGTAATGGGGACTCCCCTCCACCACCATCAATGTGCAGCCCCGCTAGCCATAGTGTGCCGGAATGCTCAGCACACATCAGCTATCAGTGGGGAGGAGAACAGAATGATGAAGCTAATTGATAGATAGGGATTATTAGGAGGCCATGATTGGTAAAGGCCTGGAGGAAATTTGGCCAGGATGCTGCGGTTACATCCCTACTATTTTCAAGAAACACCCTGGGGTTTTTAATGGCTGTGGAGAGTAAGGATCGTAGATGGGGATCATTAGGAGGCCATGAATAATAATAGCCAATTGGAAATTTGAAATTACGAATAATTTTTTTTTTTGTTAGCAGGTTATTGAATGTGGTTGTTAGTGAATGCGTTGTATATCAAAATAATGTACTTTAATCACAATTACATTCTGTGGTACCTGTGTTGTCTTGTGGTTTAAAAATCGAGCACTTCAGACACTAGTCGACATTTCCATGTATATTAGGATTATAAAGCATTTCAAGGTTATAGTAAAATACAGTAGATATGTTTGATTACATAACTCTAAATATAAAAGAGGAGTAGAAAAGATGCATTATTTTAATGGTAAGATAGTCAGTGGAGACACATTGGATCTCTTTATACTTTAGCTGGGAGTAAATTTGTGGTTCAATCTTTGGAAATGTAGTTATGTAGAAAGAATACATACCAGATATACTAATTTGGTTTTAAAAAGAGAATTTAAGTTAATATTGTAATAAATTCAGGTGAGAGATATTAAATGAAAATTAGGAGGGTTAATATGCACAGTTTTGTTTCAACTATGGACAAAAGCTTTGCACAATATGAAATTGTGTACTACACTTAAGTATTTGAAAATAGTTATACTTTTCTCTGTTACTTTCTGCAGTCTTTAAGTTTTGCTTTTAACATTTTATAAAACTGTGTCTTTATATATCTATAATAAATCTATATTTATATTTAAGCCCATGTATGCAAAACTGTGAGTACTGGGGAAGAGGGGAATATCAGGACACCAATTCTATCATTGGCTATTTTTACATTGCTCCTTCCTTACAACATTTTATCAGTACGGTAATTGCTCATTTCTTAAAAAAAACAATAGTGTTTAACGTTATCTTGCACAACTTATTTTTAGGATACTCTAAAGAGCATCCAGGGTCTTTTGATTGAAATCCAAGAGTTTTATAGTAAGGTGTCTACTAGCCTCCATTAGAAACCCTTTTAACTGCAAGACAATCAACAGGAGAAGTAACAGAAAAACTCCAGCTTTCACAATGATTATCATGAAAATTGCAAGCTGTTTTGTAGCAGGTCTGCAAACTAGTCATAGGTCAATTCACTGTGAAACTCACAGGCTAGTAGCGTGTGAAGCTACTGCTGGAAGCAGTATAAGCCATACATCTGTGATGCATACTTTGCTCCAGATTCCAATTGCTTTCTAGATTCTGTCTCGAAGCTCTTAGATGCTTCATATGATCGCAGCCATCCCACATATGTTCAGTTGAGCTTAAGTCATCCTTGATATAAATGTCACATTCTCATCCTGCAAGAATGTCACTGTTACACAAGTCGCATGAGGTCTTGTGTTGCCCTGCTAAAATTTTGTCATGTTTGGATGAGCTCTCAGAAAGAACAGTAAGTAAAATGATTTTGACTTAGGGCATCAATCACACTTAAACCTCCCCTTTAATCTTCACAGGATGTCATGGTGTCCTTGGTCGCCAGGGTAGATGTAAATGTAGCTTTGAGATAGTTTTGGCTTCTGATATCTTTTTTAGTCTTTTAAAGGGACAAAGATGAAAAGGTCAGTGTAATGGCCACGGGGAGAGGTAAAATGCTCAACTATTGTCTTGGAGGTCTCTTAAAACCTTGCAGCTCTGACATAATCCCAGAAGCTGCTGGCAAGTTTTACCATCTTAAAATTTTTGTATTTTATGTCCTGTGCTGGTATATCATTATTTTTAAATGGTCTCTCTGATTTCTTACCATGCTTTTTTTTGTAGTGGCATACAGAAGAGAGAGAGGAGACTTGAGGAGCGAGTATGACAGAGCCCAAAGAGACCGCTATATACATGGGAAAATGGTGGGTATTTTCTCCAGGTTGGCATTCCCCTTTATCACTAGTTAAATGAATGAGTTCAGAAAGTTTTTTGTTGGTCACGTTAACGTTTTTTCTATTGCTGCAGTACAGGTGAAACCCTGTATATGTGTGTTTATTGCATTACTGTTAAGACTGTAAGCCACATAGTGTTTATAATCTTTGTTCCATTAAACTGTAGACAATTATATATGTAGACTTTCCGAACAAATGCTGTTCTTCAAAAAACAAGTAATGTGTCTTTTTGTGATTTATTTGAACATATTTAATATTGCTTTCGGCAAAGGGGGTTATTTTAACTTGCTAGTATCTGTTCATATCTGTTTTCTCCATTCATTGGAGGTTTCATTCACACCTCTCTACACCTATTCTGACTTCACACCACTGGATTGGCCTCTCTTTCTGTCCCCTGCTCCCGCCTCTCACTTCCAGCCTTTGTTCTCCTGCTACATTACCTTTGCTTACTGCCTTGTCTTTTTCACACCTGAAGAAGGCTCCACGGCCTAAACGTTGTGTTTTCTTTCTTCTTTTTTTTCAGCATGGAATACACCTATTACTTGTTCCTTTGCAGCCTACGCATGCTGACACAGCTACCCACCTGATCTGTTCATATATTATAAATGAAAATCAGTGTTTCTCCCAGCTGAAATATATACAATTTTTATGTTTGACAGTGTGATTACAATTACACAGAAGTATAGCCTAAATAATATTATGTAAGGGTTTCATTTGTATATGACATTACATTTATATATATATATTACATCAGGCATTTATATTAAACTATATCCATGTGGCATAGTGGTTAGCAGTGCTGCCTTGCAGCACTTTGGTCTTGGGTTCTGGTTTAGACCTGGGTTGATGCAGTACTTATGTGTTGTTTGTATGTCCACCTTATGTTCGTGTGAGTCTCTTCTGGAGCTCTCATTTTCTCACACAGTCTAAAGACATACTGCCAGATTAGTTGGCTTCTGGGAAAGCTGGCCCAAGTGTAAGTGTGTGCATGACTATGTGTATCCTGTGATTGACTGATGTCAATTGACTGAGGCTCCAGTTCCACCGCGACCCTGAATTGAGTAAGCAGTTTTGGATGGACTCTTAATAGTTGAGAGCAATATTGGTTTCATATTTTGATGTCTCAACATTTCTTTATTTGCCTCCACTGCTGGCCCAGGGGCAATTTTCTTTTTTGAGAGTGCCCCCCCCCCTCAGCCATTGCTGGTTGTCAACATCCTCACAAATGGCCATGACATTCTCCTCTAGAATCGTCTGATGCAATCCAGAATTCATGGTTGTGTCAATGATGGCAAAACCGATCATGTCCTGATCATTGGTGGTGGTGGAGGGGAGTCCCCATTACCTGTAAAGCGCGTTGAGTGGAGTGTCTAATCCGTCACACTCCCACCACCATGCTTGACAGCTGGGATGTTGCGGTTTCTTCTGTTTGAAAGCAGTGTTTATTTTTTACCAAATATAATGTTTCTCATTAAGGCCGAAGAATTCTACCTTTGACTTGTTTGTGCAGAGAAAGATCATCTTTGTGTTCTGGCTAACATCAGAGGGGCAGTAATATTCTTTTTGGAGAGCTGTGATGTCGTCCTTGCTATTCTTTCAAGAATGGAGGTCTTGTTCAATCATTTTGTTATAATTGAGTAATAAACTGTCGCATTAGGCAAGGCAGGGGTGGCCTGCAGTTCCTTGGCTGTTACTCTGGGATTCTTTGTGACTTCCCTTCTGTTCTTTTCTTGGAGTGCCCCAAATTCTTAGAAATGTTTTTGTAACCTTTCTGGACTGATGGTCATTATGTAACTCTTTTCTGACATCCTCTGTGATTTTCTTTGATCTTATCCTGACTTGTTTCCACACACCTGTATGGTGATAGCCCAACTCACAACGTTAATGATTTTTATGTATGGTGGGGCTGTAATTGAGGTTCACTTACTTTTTCACATTGCTTGTATCTTAATAACTCATTGTTTAATTTGTACGTCACTTTGTTTCAAGAGACATGGAATTCCTTATTGGACATTTACATGTCTTGATTCAAAATCATCCTATCTATCATGGTGAAATTATAAAATTGAAGACTGAACATCTTATGGTTTTGGAGAAACAAAAACTTCCATCTCTAGTGGTGGTTGTCTGTAATGCTAAACAGTATCTCCCAACGACATAATGCAAAACAGTTCCATTTATTTTTGAATAATGTGCTCCACCTTTCAAGTGTCACACATCAAAGGGTTTTTCTATAATCAAATAATTCTTCCCACCATTATTTCCCATTACAAAATAGTTTTTGAAATAGTGCTGTGGGGCTGTTTTTATAGGTGATAAATGTCTAAGAGAAACAATGGTAAAATGATTGAGCACTTTACCTTATGTATTTTTCTATGAGTGCAGTCTCTTAGTATCTGACCATCACTGATGCTTTCCTATGAGTCCCCGTTTATCCAGTCAGCTTCCACTGTACAGTCTGAGCACTACAATAATACCAATTAATTTAGTCTGCCAGCAGCGCTATCATTTTCACAGCAGAGGTGCTGCATAATTATGCTCGCTATGATTAAGGCTTCCATTATTTGCGATGGGCTGTATTACTCAGTCATCCATGCTATTCTTTGGTTAATGCATCTGATCTTGAATGACATGACCAGAAATTCAAGGACAGCCAAGAGTGCTACAGCTGGTGATCCTGTAAAGCGGTTTTCCTGAGGGAGTGATGCATGCAGCAAATAGAAACGAGAGATCAGAATGAAAAGCTTCTAGCACAGCAGCATGGTCTGTTGTTCAGGCAGCATAGAGCATACAAAACTGAAGACGTTTAGTTCTTGCTTGAGTGCTGATGCTCCACAGTATGAAGAAATGTCTTCTAAGCTTGATACAGGGTTCACAGAAAGTGTTCATTCTGCCTTAAACCTAGCAAATTCTGGTTTTACTGTTGTGGGTAAAACTACCCTGAATTTTGAGTAAACTGAAATTTGTGATTTAAGCTTTCCTAAGCAGTATCTCAGATTTTTATTTAAGGGACAGTAAGCTATTGCTCAACCATTATAACTTCTCAAAGAACAGATAATTATGTCTCTGCTTTTAAGAAGTGCTAACTTATTTTATGAAAATAAAAAAAAAAGTTTGTGAGAATGAATAAAGTTACATCTGTTATTATTTATAAATGTTTTGTGTGTTATTCTGGACTTCCATTATAGGAATCATTGATTATGCTTTCATTGTGGTAGTCCCTAGTGTAAATGACCAGTTCCATGAACGCTGGAGCCTCACCAAACAAAGTCACTTTAAAATGCAAATCTTATAAAAGCATAGCACCACCCTTCTACCAATACACATAAGATTTGTCTTGTGTTACACAGTTATAAAGTTTTTCTTTATATTAGAGCAGGGTGTTTGTATTTCATTGGCATTTGACCTCAATTTGCATGCCTGACTCTATATGTGGTATAAGGTTCTGTTCTTTATTTGTTGTAGGGACCGTATCAAGGGGTAAACTTTGCTCCAAGGAAGACCTTTTTTGAAAGACCAGGTGAAGGCTTCAGTCGAGAATTTGATTACGCAGATCCTCGGATTTATCATGATGAAGGCCCCCGAAATTATCATGCTGAAGTGCCAAGAAACTATTATGCTGACAGCATCAACTTTGGAAATGAACGTAGAAATGGACCTCTGTTACGCAGGGTATGTATCTCCTTGCACTAATAGTATTACACACAGCAAAGAGGCTGCTGTTTATACAACTGTTGAAGTCGGTTTCAGATCTATGATCCTTAGTGACAGAAAATGACATTAACAGGTGATGCAAGACAATACTTCTACTGTTCATTCAGTTTGGCGGGGAAGAAATTGATGGAAAGACAAAGTGCTATATTAAATAGTTTTGGAATAGGTGGGGAAGAAGTGTTACTATAAGGACTTAAGATAATCATCTCAAGGACGTCATGGTAATATACAATTTTTACTGAGGGAAATGAGGGATGTTATTTATAAACCACTTGCAAAATGGTTTCAACAGGCACTCAAGTAAGGGGTTATACCTCTTGCCTGGAAAACGTCTAATGTAGCATTCATCCACAGAAAAGATAACAAACTCAATCCAAGTAATTATAGACCAATAAGTCTTCCTTCTGTTACATATAAGGTTATGGAGACCAAAACTGAACTAAAACAGCATTTATACTCGTAGGAATCTACAGGATAGTCACCATAGACTTAGAAAAGGTAGGTGGTGAAGTGATGATAATGGATATAGAGTGTATGTGATGATATATGATTGAATTTACAGAAGGCTTTTAATAAAGGTACAAATAAAATATTATTTTAATATTGATGGCAGTATTAATCTATGGTAATGTGCGTTTAGACTGAGAGTGGTTAATGGTTAATGGATAGAAAACAGTACAGATAAGGGCTGAATGCTTAAATAGGGTGACAATTAATAGACTACCAGAGAAATCTGTCAATACTGGGAGATCTTGTATTAATTAAAAGAAGCCATTATATCAACTTCATTAACATGGCTGTGCAGTTTTGTTAAAAGTTTGTTTGAAATCTAATTTATTTTTTTATATATGCTTTTTTACCTTGAAATTACTCTATTAAAATGACTTGTAGATGGTTTTGAAAGCTGATGGGCAGCATCTGTAAAGCAGAAGAAAATCAGTTGCACCAAGCTCAGGAAAGTTAGATGATAAAATCTTATTATTTGTGCTCATTAAAAATGTTTATTGATGTTTCAGCTTTGTTAGCCACATTGTTCCCTTTCTTCATTACACATATAATACTTTCTTTCAGAAGCTTCTTTACATACTATAAAATACAATTTTGTATTATGCACCATAACAAAGGTATTCTTGATAGACTTTTGGGTGCTGATTTGAAAAAAGATAATGCTAAACTGAAGAAAAGAGGAGAGCAAAAAGTTTTCTTTATTCACAAAATTAGGAATCTGTTTCATCCAAGTACATTTAGGAACTCATCCATCTCCTCATTATCCAGGTTATTTTAATGAAGCACAAGAAGCTTTTATTCATCTTGGTTGATTGCATTCTTTCAGGAGGAGTCTATTCATGAACAAGGTACAATCTTTTTACTTTTAGTGTTACATCTGCAGCAGAGCAGCTTTTGAAAGCTCAGAATTGGGGTTTGTGCACTGCATAATTTCTTTCACCTGAAACGTTTTTCAGTTATCAAACAAAACAAGACAGCCGTTGAGGCTGGTTTGGCAGGTGATGGTCAAGGAGTACATCTGAGTGTAATGGAAGCTTTATAGAAAATGTTAGCTTTCATTCCAATGACCAAGACCACACATTCTGTGTGGATAAGTGAACAGTTTAGTTGGACATTTCAGTGTCAAGTGAATGACAGAGGATTGCAGGTGAAATGCCAGCTGTAGTTTAGCTTTTTATTCATTTGTGCATAAATTGGGATTATATTCCTAGTACAGAGATATTCATGTTTAAATGTTTTACAGCATAAGAAAACGTGCTTGTATTCTATATCCCACTGAAAAGTGTTATTAAGCTGAGCATGTCTTCAACAGTGTTTTTATGAAAAGAACAACCACCATTTAATTGCCTAAAGAATTTCTATCCTGGAATGACCAGAGGAAAAATGAAATAATCCTATTAAGTTTATGAAGAATTCTTTCCCAGTGATAAAGAAGAACTTATGCTGTGTTCCTAAATTTAAGTAAGCTGTCTGCTGATCTACAGACAGTCAAACTTTAAATATTTGCTGAATGCTAGAGTATGAACTTTGTCTTTTGCATAAACTTGGCAAAAATATATAGATACTTCAAATTGCAGTTGGTCAACATAAAACATTGTGTTTGTGCAGGACTACGAATGGACAAAATAGCTGCTATTCCCAGAAGAGACTTTGAACATGACGATTGAAACTTTACTTTTCATTCACCCCTCTTAAATTTGACATTACTTAAATAATTGGTGTTTATTTGTAAACCTGAGACAACTTTTCTCCCCTAACTGACATGTTTACTCTATGAGAACTGAATGTCATAAAAGAAAATTGGTATACAGATACTTTGTGAGTATTAAACATTTTTGTAGTATTAGCATGGCATGCAAATGAAGAGAGTTTTACTAGAGGATGGGCAATACAATGATTTGAGATCACTTTGGCAAGTTTGTTCTAGTTCTTTTGTTTTAAGCCAAAATATTTTCATATGTAATGAAAACAACAAAAAAACAATAGAAAGGTAACACAAAAAGTCACGTTTGTAAGGTTTTAAGACCTTATAAAAGACCCCTGAAACTCTTGCTAAGTTAGCTTTAGATTTGTATTAATGTATTAATTCCACATGAGAACTAATATGCAGTCTATTCTCATGACTGAATTTGACAAATGCAAGGAATTATTCTGGGATCATGAATAATGAAAGCTAGAATATACTGTATACTTTTGTATATCCATCCACCCAATTTCTAACCCTTTCATTCAGATCAGGGTTTGTTACAGCAAGCACAGCAAGATGCACCCTGGAAGGATGGCAGACCATCGCAGGGCAGATGCACAGACATGCATACACACTCACAACAGGGCCAGTTTTCCCAGAAGCCAGGTAGCCTACCGGTCTGTTTTTGGACTGTGGGAAGAAGCTGTAGCACCTTGTGAAACCCACGTGGACACAGGGAGAACATACAAATTCCACGTCAATGACACTCCTAGTCTGGAATTGAACCCAGGGCCCCAGCACTGTGGGGCAGCAATGCTGACCACTGCTCCACAGTGCTGCCCTACTTTTGTACTTCTAAAGCTTAAAATGGTTTTAATTTGTGTTCTTAAAATCAGCATTTTGCATTTTTTTACTTCGGATTTTTGTTCTTTATAAATAATAGTATAACTCACAAAGTAAGACTTATAGAAAATATTGCAAATTAATGCAGTGGTGTCTCATGTTAAGGCTATAAATATTGTTTTTGGAAATACGTTTTTCTGCACTTCCTAATAGGAGAAACGTAGCAAGTTAGCACGACATACAGGGTGAATGTCTTATACCTTTTTGTCAAAACACAGTCTGGAAGCACTTGATGCAGCCCCTAATATTTTCCTTAGCCTGAAAATTCAAGCATTTTGTTATTATTTTCAATTTTGTGGAACTTTTTTAACAGTACTGTGTTATAAGAACTTTGTTATAACCAGTAAAAAATGTATTCTCATTGTGAATTTGGAAACTAAAAGTGACATAGTGAAATGTTATTTTCTGATTCTTACTCATACTAACAACTGAGTAAACTGTGAAATTCTAATAGTATTCTTCATGTTTCTGTTTTGTTCTTTAAGTAGAAGAGCATCTTGACTATAGACCTGTGGTAATTCTATTAATGCAAGTTCACTAATTCACAAGCAGTTTTGTTGATCTTACAATTACTACAAAAGAAGTGCTTGCAATATCTTTTATAGTTTGTGAAAATATGTTTGTGTTCTTTGCTCTTTAGAAACTCTCAGCTAAACTAGAAACTTTAGGTTTGGCAAAATTATTTGTCCTTCAGAGCCTTTGAAGTTTTAATGAGACATTATTTGGTTTGTACCGTTTACTCTTGTCAATACAGGTATGTCAGGGTGCTTCAGCAAGATTTACTGTGAGAAACTAGATACATTTCAGTTGTGTTTTTGTCCATAATTCTCAAACTAAAAATAAAGACAATGCAGGTATTGTTTTGTTGGAGGCAAGGTGTTTATTGTATTTTACATGTTTTTAAAAATAAAAATATATGTATCTTTAAGTTTGCAATCTGCACTCTTTGTTGCCAAAAAGAAAACACCTTAATACTTCACAAATGCTTCCTTCATTGTGTGAAAACTATACCAGGAAGCTCATTTGTCCTGTTGTAGCACCTTATCATGGCACTGTAGTAATGTTTGATAGCTTTCTGGAGAGATCTGTTTTGGGAATAGAGGAAGATGCACATTACCGCATGTGTGTAGACCACAGAAGCAGTTATAGAGGATAGAATTTCATTATGATGTTTTTCATAGGTGTGTATTAAATTTCAGTGATTCCAAGTGCCACACTGTGGATATTTTCATTAAAATTTGTTATTTACTTTCAGCTTTCTGTTGTGCACTGTATAGTCACAGGAATTCTACAATTTGATTTAAGTGATTTTAGGTTTTCTACACTAACGTGTACGGTCAGCTCATCCACCACTGTCAAGCCTTGCTGTCATACTTTCATACACTATGTTGTGTTTGTATCATAATGCCGAAATTGATGTAATTTTCTTCCTCTCTCAGGAAGTATATAGTTACAAATGAGAACTACTAAGAAAGAAAGAGAGAGATCCATTGTATAGTTCATAGTATGTATACAGTAAAATGTTACTGGAATTTTTTTCTGTAGTGTAACTCTGCCATGGTAGCACAGCACCACATCAAATTTACCTTTGATGCCCCCTAGTGTTCATACTAAGACATTATTTGGATTTTATATTTTTTGGAGTTGTGAAGACAACCATTCAATATTTTGAAATATGTTCCTTTTATTATATTTTAAACATATTTAAAAGTCTCTCTTTATAATGCCTTACGCTCTGCTGTTGCTCTGTTATCTGTTTCCTGAATATCAGCCCTGCCTTCCGCCCTATACTTCTGGCATAGGTTCTGGGTTACTGCAGCCCTTACAAGGAAGAGGGGGCTTTCTGATAATGGGTTGAGGAGTAGCATCTGATAAAGTGATTGAGTGTGTGGATAGGTACAAGTAAAGGTTCATTTCATGCTGAAAAGTAGAACAACTGAAAAAACAACATTACAGCTGTTAAGCCTTCAGGTGTTAGGCTGAGAGAAAGAGGAAAGTATGCCTATATAAATTACAGCCGAACAAAGGGCCGTGGGAGGGAGAATCTCCCTACAACAGGTGAGAAAGAGTGTCCAAATGAATGGAGATCTGGGGGAGAGGAGTTAAATTTGCAAACAAATAGAGAGATCCTAAAAAGAAAGTCTGGATTTTTTTTCAGCATTGGGATCAACAGCTCTCTGTGAACAGGTATTTTTACCGATCTCCATTTGTTTGGGGGTACTCTTTCTTCTTCCTCTTTAGTACTGCTAATGTATATCTCTGCAGCATTTCTCTCAAGCATGTGAGTATGCAGGTACTGCTCTAGCAATGTATTACTATTAATAATGCTAATAATAATTAACAACAATAATGTTCTCCACTCAAAGTGCTTTACGGGTAATGGTACAAGTCTCCTCTACCACCATCAATGTGTAGCACTACTCCGGATGACTGGATGTACTTGCATTGAGCTGCAATGCTTATGCTATCCAGAATTAAGACAGTTTTAGCAGTTGATGGAGATGCTGCTTAGAAAAAATTCTTTGTTATATTTTAATTGAAAGTACACCAAAAATTGCAAAAGAAAAGTTGGTGTGACACAGCCAAAGAAGATTCCATAGTGAAGATGTTCTTTGTTTCTCAATTCTTTTTGCTAATAAAAGTGTAATTAACCTCCATTGGTTCTTTTTTTCCCGCCAATTTCTAGTAAAAATCTAATCTAGAATTACTGTTTTTTAATATATACGGTATACATGTTGTTCTATATTCCACTAGGGGGCAAACATGCAGTGTTCTGCTAGTGAATTGCTTACATTAACGATTGCTTATCTGGGTCCTTGAAAAGCAGCTACTGCTGCTTCTAGTAGCTTGGTTTTGTATGTTTCAGTTACCGTTGTAGCTGTTGTAGACAAGGTAGTCTACATATTCATGTTCTGTTTACAGTAATTCTCATATTTATATAATGAAAACAGAGTCTAGAGAAATAATTTTCAGTTTACAATAATTACAATTACAGTTAAATATAGCTTATAATAGCACAGAAGTCAGTACACATAAATGTAAAATATAATCTAAAATACGTATTTTACCAGATGTGAAAACAGGAATCTGAGGGACATCTTGTTAACCTCTGTAATAATTAACTTAGGACAAGTGATTATTAGTTTTAGTCTGTTGGGTTGTAGTTGGTAATCCTTAGTTTATGAAACCTGTAAAATATTTCATAGACTTATACATAATTGATTTTTTTTGTTCAGTAATTGTGATTCAGAACTGAAATGACAGTTGATGCTGATCCCCTTACAGTCAGAGTGTAGCAATTGACTCTATCTTGGCAAACTGTACTTTCATCTTGGTTTGGTAAATCTTTGTTCATCTTTGCATCAATATTGTAATACAGACTTTTCAGCAAAAGAAAACACATAGGTAGACATGTTTTTAGCACAGTATTGGAGCAAACAAATATTAATAAAATAGCACCACTCAACAACATAGAATATTTCACAGTATACATCACAAACTCATACATACAGTGTGTCTCAGAGGCATGTGTTCTACAGATGCAGAAACCAAGGGTGCTAACCCAAAATAAAAGAATGACTCAGGACTTAATCCCCCCTTTCTTGAAGATGGATGCCCAAAAATGAATGGAAATCTATCCCCCTATTCTAAAAATGCATCACCTACTAGGAGAAAACATTTTTAGTCTAAGGATTTCACAGTAAAGGATATAAAAATGTTCTTTAATAACTAGGACAGCAAGGTCTCTAGAATAAGTTTAGGGTTACCTAGCCAGAATCTGGTCTCAAGATTAAGAATAATGTCCACTTGCATGGCACAAACTTAGATGAAGTGGAGGGTGATGGTGTTCCTTCTTCTCTGTATCTATTTTATACTGTGTTCTGTTGAATACTCTAATGATTTACCCTGAAGTTAAGTAACCAAAGTAAACCAGAAACCCCCTTTGATCATCTGTGTTTACCTGCTGTAGTTCACTTGACACTTTGAATGATACCTGTGTTTGGATAAGGCTTTGAATAGTGCAATAAAATGTGAAGTGCAAACTTTATACCCTCCCCATCTCATTACAGTATTATTTTTCTTATATACTACTGTGTAATTTAGTTTGGAAGAGATCAAAATTGAATGCTTAATGCTACTTGGAATTTCTGCTGGTGCATAGTATACAGGTTTTAACTTATTCAGTAGTCTGGTAGTGTAAAGGAGTTAAGCAAAAACAGTTTAAATTAATACACAGTGCAGGAATCTTCCTGGAATAGAGAGAGACAGTTTGTCTGTCCAAGGCTAGGCTGTGCCTCCCACATCTAGATGTTTTGCTGGTCTTCTGGGATTTGCTCTTGCATAAATGGATGTAAAAATGTTGAAGCTCAGTAAACACAGAAATACGAAATGTGAGCTTCATGTTCATCTGTATATACATTTTTTTTTAAATATACCTTTGTATATTTATAAAATTATAATTAAATATAATGCCAATGAATCATTGCAATCTAGAAAACTATAAAACAACTATAAAAGGCATGTGGGAAGCCCTGAAGGCCCTGAGACCATGTGGCAAAAATTGAACTATTTGGCCTCAATGCAAATTGCTATTGCCTAGTGCAAACTAAACACAGGTCATCATCCTTGTAAAACCAACTAGACCATGAAGCAGGGTGATGATAGCATTGGAAATTCTTTTCAGTAGCAAAGACTGGTTTTCATGTTTCATAAATTTTTGTTACACAGATATTTTTCCACTTTAAAGTGTTGTGTATGTTGTGTGAATCAAGAGGAAAAATAATTTCAGTGCATTAAAAAATTTGATCATAATGCACCACTATTTGAAACTGTTCAGCAGAGGTGAATGCTTTTCAAAGGCGCTGTTTGTAAGATATATTCAGTGAAATTCAATTGAATTCCTTTAAGGTGAAGAGTTATTTTATATTTCTTCACAGCAAATGTCTTAGTAATGTTTTGTGTTAGCAAGCAAAAAGACTGAACCCCTTGGTATCTTGCTTAAATGTTTATTAGCATATAACATTTTACATTTTTTTGAATATTCAACTTTTATATTCTTTTTATTTTTTAATTTTGCTGTACAACAAAATATTTCCAAAAGCAGTAAGGATAGGTATGTTAATTCAGTTCCAGAAATTTCAAGATGGAGAATAAAAGTCTGAATATCAGCGTTTGTGGCTGTTGATTTCCAAATATTATTTCAACTGTGTTTCATTCCACAGTGACTGCTTTACATGGACTTGGTGCTTCTCTTCATTGAACGGGGATGATTAATAGTTGTTTTTTTACCTCAGATTAAGAATGTTTAAGAACTTAGTAGTACCTTTATCAGACTCTAGGTCACTATGAAGTGATGCATGTTATTTTGCAAACTGAAATTTGTAACCCTTTTGGAAAACAGCAAAATGACGTGGTGTAAATCTGTAGATTGTCTTTTCAGTATGTGAACAAACCTTGCTTTTTCACTGCAGGAGAGATTTAAAAACTCAGATTTACATTCTGAAATGTAGGCTAGGTGCTAGAATGATAAGGTTATGTAAAACACCTGGGAGACCCTGACTGCCTTCTCCCTCAGGTATTTGTACACTTCGTTGTACATTAAAACAGAGTGTAGACACAAGGACCAAGGTCCTTGGATATAATTAACAAAGGAACAAAGGAAATGTGCTAAAGATGCAATAAAATAAGTGACAATTTGAACAATAAAGTAAACTTGACCTTTACTTAATAGTTCAGCTTCGAAAATAAAACCTGAAGGAATATAAGACAGAGGAAATGAAGTGGGCATGTATGTTATACATTTCATAAAGATTTACCTTGAGACTTTCTTGATTTGTCTAACACTGATTTGCCTCCCATGTGCACATCTTGACAATCGCCTTTGAAATTCTTCTCAGAAGCTTTTCTGACCTGTTTGGTGAGAAAAAGTAACGGGAAAATCTCAGGGATTCACATGGTATAGAAAATTTGTCTATAGTTTGCACAGTGTGCTGACTGAATGTAAAGCTGATCATAAAGTATGTGAAATGTTTAATATTCTGTTATCCAAAATTAGTAATTTCTTCAGTTTTGAGATTATTAATACTGAAAGGAATGTTTTGTTAATTCCTGTAGGAAGATCCGGACTACCGAAGGCCAATAGAAGACTACCATGGGTCAAGAATGGTAGAATTCAGGTAAAATTGTCATATTCAGCCCAAATGCTGACTTCTGAAATAACTTTTATTGATTCAAAGTGTTTTATTCTTGTATGAGTTGACCGCTTCTGAATATGGTTGAGAAAGTAAGCATTTTGCAAGACGTGGATACGCACTAGTGGTTGTGTTTCTTGTTTGTATTGGTTGTTTTAATGCTTGTCGTTATTCCACACAAACCTTTTTAAACCCAGATTGGCATCCTCTTGCTTCATCTTTAAAGATATATAGGCACGTAGCATCCTGAAAACACATGCTGTCATGACAGCTGCTGCTTTTTTCTCTTTGGAACGAGAGCAGCATGGCTCAGATGCCAACGCTGGGATAGACAACACTCACTGAAATTGCCCTGCTGACTGTAACTGTGCTTTTCTCAGTTTTGATAATGATAATTTAGTACCCCGAACAGTGACTCTACATCATACATTGTAAGCAGATGCTTTTGTCAGAAATATCCAGTAAGGTTTCATTTGTGTAAGCTTTTTTATCATTTAATCTTTGTTTCCTGCAGGAAAATTTTATGAATTAATATTTATGTGTAACTATAGGTTTTTAGTTTAGCGAACTTTAATTGTAGAAAACCAAATTTTTTACACATAAAACTCACTTATAATGTGTAGTGAAACATTGTCACTTTTAAAACTCTCCTGTTCATTCCTTTCAATAGCTCTACTTTTCTGATATTATTCTAGTATACACATGCTTTAAAGAACATTAAAGCTACTCTCAAGAAAAGGAAAATAATTAAGTGATAGTTCAGGTCAGAATATTTTCCAAGTAGGTTATTTTGTGAGCATTTCTTTTTCAACGTAGTGCTTTTCATCCAACATACTCAAATTGATTCACATGTAGGAGATCCACTTTATCTGCTACTAAATTAAAGTAGCCATTTGTATAATACAGCAGATCAGGTAGATTAGTTAGAAATCACTTGATTTTAAATTACTTAGTTGAATTAAAGGAGATATTTAGAGAAATCTGATTGTTGAAGCCTTAATTAGAATTTAACTAGTTAACTTTCTACACTTATTAACAGTACATTTGTTTTAGTTTTTTTCTTAGTTTCCTGTAGGTAGCCAGTAAAATCACATTTTCCAGTTGTTTTTAAATGCATTGAGTCGCATTAAAGTCCCAGTAAATCGGTTTAGAGTCAAAATACAGATCGGTCTGTGTTGTGAGCAGGACAAGTGGACCGCATATTATGCTGGGGGCACTTATGACACATTCATTTTTAAATCCTTCTTTACATCAAAATGAGTCAATTTCCAATAAGGTCCATTTTTTTCAAAGAACGAGTTCAGAATCTCAAATGCCCTAGAAATGCTTGTACCTGATATGGCATTTACTTTATTACAGATTTTATTTCTCTCTAATAAATCCTGTTTTGCCTAGCCTGATGTTCTACATGTAGCTCAGAAAGTGTACATGATCATAGGTTCTTAGAGCACCTATGCTGATTTAATATGTCCTAGAGGTGCTCTGTGGAGGTCCTGTTGAGTCAGAATGGTAACAAGGCCATAACCAGCACATTGTGCCGGGCAAGAAAAGTCAGACAGGTCAATGTGACGTGTCCATTACACAAATGCACTATACCAAAACACACATATTAAATGTAGTTATAAGAGAATAATTACATATTATTCTTTTCCTCACTACACAAAGTAATATGCAGCATTTGGGAATACAACATTAGCTCTATAACATTTCACAGGCAAAAATCCATCATTAACTGATATCCATTCACACTGTAATGCAGTGCATATTATGGCATCTCTGCCTGGTCTACACGTGTAACCCATGTGAATGATCACTTTCATTGCGTCTCTGTCTATCTTTTGTCTGTCAGAACAGACTGAGCTGTGATTTCTCACTGATCACAACTCAAAAACAGTTTGTGTTTGAGTTGTTTGAGTTTAGGGTGTCATTGTGCCCAAGAATGACATGTTGACCTATCCTAGTTATTCAACATCAAGTCAAAGTATGTAGAAGGCTCTGATACTTTATTCTGGAGCAGCCATCTCCAACTCCTCTGTATGGGAGCTGGTTTCGCCAATGTGCTGTCTAGGTGTCTATTTAGCAGTCTGTAATGCATAACAATGTCAATCCCACAAATGCCTCTAAAGGATGTACTTCCATGGAGGTATGTACATTTTGCCGCCCTGGCCACTGTCATTCATGACTTGAACCCACCTGAATATATTGCTACTGCAGGTGTCACTAGACACCCTCAGCTTCCCAATGGCTTCTTCCCTTTTCGTCTGTGCCACTTGGGGCCGCCCTGGTCAGTGCATGTAAAGGTTTATTCCATGCTGAAAAGATAAGAAAGGAAATCCAACGTTCGGCTGTGGAGCCTTCTTTGGGTGCGAGATCCGAAGAAGGCTCCACAGTTGGAATGTTGCGTTTCGTTTCCTTCTCTTTTCAGCATGGAGTAAACCTTTACTTGTTTCTTTGTGGCTTGCGCATGCTGACGCAGGTATCTACTCGAACTACATGGTTAGTGCATGTTTTCTTCAGCTTCCACAAGTCACAGGTGCAGCAACACATGAACACCACAGTTACACCTACATTTGTGTGTCTGCAAACCAAGTGATTGAAAATTGATTTTTCAAAAATGAAGTGCATGAAAAGGTTTTACTGATTTGTAAATGTGCATTTTTGCAATGAAAAATTTTGCAATGAAAATCATTTCCATTTTTAATGCTTTTTAGTCTAAAATGGTCTTCAAAATGGGAGTCTTCTATGTTCTGCCTTTTGAACTTGGCAGACATCAGGCAGAACTGGACAAGAGCCTCTTTTAAAGACGGAGAAGGCAGTAACCCAAGGAAAACAATGTAGTGGTTGGCAGTGAATTATAGTTTTCAAGCAAGTCTTGTATTTGTGGATTTTTCTTTCAAAAACGAAGTTTGGAAAATTGCTGCTTGGCACATTTTTTTTTTAATTGCTTAAACTGTCAGAAAAATAAACAGGGCCGCCTTCAAAAGGGAAAGTTAGTGTAGAAGCAAGAAAATAAGTACTTTTAATATTTTTTGAAAGCAGCGTCTTATAACTGGAATGATCTGGAATACGTTTAATGAAAGAATCCAGGAAAATGTATGTAGTCTGTGGCTACACATAGTCTGGTTGTAAAATTAAAAGCATGTTTTATTTGCTTCTTACAGTCTTTCCTTGGCTTATAACACCACTAGCAGGCAACATTTAGGAATGTGGGAGATTACATGTTATGATTTAAACTGTCTTGCACGCTTTTTTAAGCTTTGATTTAGAATTTTGGGCGTGCTTCACTTTTGCAATTTCATAAGTTTTGAAGACCAAAGAAAATCATTTTTGTAACTTTTTGAAGAACTAATCCATAAAATACTGCATTGCATTAAACATTTTAAAAATGTGAATCACAAGTTTTTGGATTATGCATGACTTTTGAACACGCTTATGTCTGATGGAGTAACTTGAATCATGCATGTGAATATCTTTTACCTTGTTCCTAAGCTAGTCTAGATCATTTTTGGCAATCTCTTTTATATAGTGCTTGTTAAAAATGTGCATTCCTAATACTAATGGGTCTCCATGCTTCAGAAACCTGAATAGAAATCTAGGGTGAATCAGAAAGAAAACCCTATAGATGTTTGTCACTTAAACAGGTTTGTTAAACTATATCTACATGAATTTAACACAATAATTCATCTTGAATTAGCTTTTTTGTATCAATTGTACAATTGTATTTGGGTAGTAAATTTGCCTTATAACTTCTTTATAAGTATCAGTACAAATATCAGATAATGCTGTTACGTACTGTATTAGGGGCCCAGGATCATATTGTGATGCCATATAACATATCCAGTATAGTCAGGAATGAAAACTAGTATTAAACTTTAAAACTACCATTGCAAAATCCATAAATAAGTAAGTTTCCTTCTAAAAAAGTATGGATGTATCATCTTACAACAGTACTTATGCATTAGAAGTAAAACATAACTGTTTATATTCTACCCACGGAATTCTGCTCTTACTCCATTTCACACCATTTCTATATTTTAGTTGCATTATTTTATATACACCTATGGTTACATTTACTTCTCAACACAAATTTAAAATTAAATCAGACTGTAATCACATTACAGCTTTATTAAACTGAACACATGATAAGGAAGAGAAATTATTTTCTACTTCTTTCCTTATTTATATACAAATTAAACATATTTCTCAGAGGTCAGGGAGGCCATCTCTGCTTGATTTAGCCAATAAAGGAAAGTTTATACACGCAGCATTATCATCTTTTTTTTTTGCAAAGAAATGCTCATGATGCTCATTTTGAATACTGTCCACAATATTCTTGATTGCTCCGTCTCCTTATCCTCTCAGTATGCGCAGAAGTCTCTCTGCAGACATGAACATAGAGTTCCATCTTCTCTGAGTTGGTTAAATGAACTGCAGGTTGTTTTCAGCTTAAACGATTCCTGATGCAGTACTATATTGTCCAGTGTTATTCTATTGAGTTTGGCACTTGGCAAAAGTGGACCTAGATTGCTTTTTATAGGTGTCGTTGGATTCTGCCTGTACCTGTAATGGATTTACAGATGTGCACAACATTGGTGTTTGTGTAGCTGATACACAAGACTGTATTTGTTCAGATGTTCAGATCACTAGCTAATTTAGCCACAGTAATGTGCAGGGAACTTTCTCCCTTTACAACTTTTCATAATGTTTTGGCAGTAAATTATAACAATGTATTGACTTTATTTAATGTTATAAACTGATCAGATTATTGTAAAAACGAAAATATTTTCTCTGCACTAAAAAAAAAATTACCATCTTTCAAGAAATATATGCAAATACCTATACGTAAATAATGATGTCTCTGACTGTGGATTTGTCGAGCCCCTGAATTTTAGAAATGGTTTACAACCTTTTTGCACACAGGCATCATTAAGGAGGTCTTCAAGAATATCCTTTGAGAAGCACATGTTTCTAGATTCTTTGTAGGG